CTACTATATACTATTTGGTATGGTTCTACCTCATGTTATTAAATGCTCCTAGTTATATATATTTGGTTGTTTCCAGTTTTTTTCACTAATGCAACTCTTGCTTCTATTGTGCACATATACAATTGTTTGTCTAAAATCATAGAGTTTGTGCATTTAGACTTTTCCCAGTTTGCCCTGTAAAGTACCTGTTTTTCCAAAAGTGGAGTCTGAGAAGATCTGTTTCCTCTACCACTCACCAGTGCTTGATATTTTTAAACTAGAGGCCTGGTACACGAAATTTGTGCAAGTGGGGGTTGTCCCTCAACCAGGCCTGTACTCTCTCCAATCCAGGACATCCCTCTTGAATTCCGGCTGGCTCTTAACTGCTCACCTGCCTGCCTGCCTGATCGTCCCTAACTGCCTCTGCTTGCCAGTCTGATCACCTTCTAACTGGTCCCCTGCCAGCCTGGTTGCCTCCTAACTGCTGCTCTGCCAGCCTGGTCACCCCTTAACTGCTGCTCTGCCGGCCTGATCATCCCCTAACTGCCTCTGCTTGCCAGTCTGATCACCCCCTAACTGGTCCCCCGCCAGCCTGGTTGCCTCCTAACTTGCCCCCCTGCTGTCCTGGTCACCCCCTAACTGCCCCCCTGCTGGCCTGGCCACCCCTAGCCACCTCTGCCTTGGCCCCTGCCACCGTGGTTTTATCTGGAAGGACATCCAGAAGGATGACTAGGATATGTCTGGTCTAATTAGCATATTACCCTTTTATTAGTATAGATCATGTTAATCTGAGGGTAAAATATGTCTTTGATTTTGTAGTGCCTTTTTGAGGTGGCAATGGGGAGAACCTAGGTAGTGTTCTCAGGTGAGTGCTGCAGCAGTCATCTGGGTATAGAGGTTTTCCTTGCTCACCTCCTCAGGCAGGACATTTACTGCTCCAGTGGGACAGACACAGATTTGCTCTTGTTGCCTGGCTCCAGAGACTGGTTTGTTCTCCCGATGACCTTGTTGGTTTTGTCTGCCTCTGTGCTGCATCCAGCATTCAGTGTATGCCACTTTTTGCCTGTCTTCCTTCACTTTCTCTCTCCTTATAGAAATTCTTTGTCTTTTGCATTTGATTCTGTAGTTTTATTTTTCTATGCTACCCAGTCTTCTTTCTATCTTTTTTCACTTTCTACAGGTCCAAGGGCTACTGGCCAACAATGGAATATTTAAAAGTGCTCCTCCTGTCATTTCTCTGATATAGGTGGGAGCAGGAGGCTGCACTTAGTTTGCTGGAACTCTATTCTCATTTTAAACATGGTGTAAATGAAGGTTTTACTACAAGATTAATTTGCCCCTTGTCACATATTGATATTGGGACTTTTGAGAATTCCAGTTTACTAGTAACTTTTAATGGCACTCACAAATCTGGCCTGCTATCTTGAGTTAAATGCTCAATTAGTTGGTTTTATAAGCCTTGATTTAGAAAGAAAGAATAAACAAAGAAAGAAAAAAAGATTTAAAAATAACAATCATCCCTGGCCAGTGTGGCTCAGTTGGTTAGGTGTCATTCCATGCTCTGAGAGGCCACCAGTTTGATTCCTGGTCATGGCACATGCCCAGGTTGTGAGCTCGATTTTCCAGTAGGGTGCGTGCAGGAGGCAGCCGATGTTTCTCTTCCTCTTCTTTCCTCTTCCTTTCCCTCTCTCTCTAAAATCAATAAAAACATTTTAAAAATCACAATCAGTGCTTTATTGAACTCTTAGCTTTATTATCTTCTCTAACATATTGAAATGCTTTTAGTTTGCTCTTGTCAGTATTTACAGCACTCACTAATGTTTATTGATTGTTTACTCATGTACCAGGTACTTTGCTATGTGCTTTCTTGGCTTATACTTAGTCCTTACCACATCCTCATGAAGTAGGGAATTATATTATGCACACTTTACAAACAGGAAATCTGAGTACTAAGAGTTTAAGTATCTGCCCAAAGTGTATATATTGTCACAGCCTGAACTCAAACCCAGGAAGTCTGATTCCAAAATTCTGATCTTAAGGTCTAAACTTTGCTACTAGTCCCCATTATCCCAGATGGGTTGTTTTATTCTCTTGGGAATTTCATTATGATTATTGTGGGCATTTTCCACATACTAGGTGTACTGGTTGATTATGTGGATTTTTTTCAATAGATGGAGTTACACATATGTTTATATATATGCGATTTGATATGTATGCTATTTTGTTGTATTGACAACAAGCTTCAAAATTTCATGTCAAATTTTCTGAAGGTGTTAACATCATAGATATTTTTACGCTTAAAAATGTCGAATTTCATGCAAAAAAAGAGCATTTGTGGGAAGTTTTAATTTTTTACTTTATTTTGAAGAAAAGTGCTGCTGAAAGTTATCGTATACTTCGGGAAGCTTATGGTGAACATGCTCCATCTCAAGATACTTGTGAACACTAGTTTAAACGCTTTAAAAGTGATGATTTCAATGTGAAATTGAAAGATAAAGACTGTCCAGGTCAATTTGAACCACACTTTGATTGTAAAATGCCCAGAATGGGCCAGAAGAACGGCAAAGTTGCTTCATGATAGTGCACTATCACACACTTCAAAACTGATTAAAGACACATTAAAAGATATTGCCACCCGCCATCTTCACCATACCTTGTCAGATTACCACTTGTTCCAATCTATGGCACAAGCACTTTCTGAGCAGCACTTCAAAATGTATGAAGAAGTGGAAAATTAGTCCCTGAATGGTTTGAGGAAAAGTTCTTTTGGGACGGTATCCACAATTACCTGAAAGATGGGGGAAATGTGTAGCTAGCAATGGACATTACTTTGAATAAAGCACTTTTGATGTTTTTCTTGAAATTATCCTATTTTCTTTGATTATAAAGTCCGCATTATTAACCGGTACACGTAGTAGTCCTTATAAGTACCGCGCGCTAACCGATTGCGCCACTGGAGCTCCACGTAGTAGTCCTTTTAAGATCAAATAATACGTTTTATTTCTAAAAATTCTTTTTTTAAAAAAAATTGATTTCAGAGAGAGAAACAGCAATTTGTTATTCACTTATCTTTGCATTCATTGGTTGATTCTTGTATGTCCCCTGACCAGGGATTGAACCCACAACCTTGGTGTATCCGGATGATGCTCTTAACTGAGCTACCTAACCAGGGTTAAGATTTGGGGATGAGAGGACATTGGGGAGATAAGGGCACATTTGTATTATCTTAATCAATAAAGGGGAAAAAAACTCTTCATATTCTTTTTTCAAGGCTTATCTCTTGGGACCACTGTTCTTAGATGAGACCAGATTTTATTCAGATGACCAATTTAGTCACCGTAATTTCACTGTTTGTTTTCATTATCTGTCAGCCTAATAGAAATGAAGTATACACTATTTATAATGATTGAGTTCAGATATTATTCTTATAGGGAGGACAACTTAGTTATTAAGCACTAGGAATATCAATGTTTTTTCTAGGCATTCCCTTATCTGAATCCAGCTTATCTGGGCCTTTTGGGATCAGAATCAAATGTCAAGAGTGCTGAGAATAGCAGCAGTGGAAGTTTTCCTGGTGCTGAACAGGGACAATAGGATTTGGTCATGAAAAGAATTTTAGGTAACCTGATTTTCCAAATATTCAGATATTTCTCATTCTTGGCTGATTTTCATTTTGGTCCTAGGCAAAGTTAAAAGAAAAATAAAAGTGATGTGTTCTAAATAGTGAGATAGGTGAGATCATATTTCACCAGGTTTTTCATTTGGCCTTAAGAGGGAACTAACGAAGGTGAGCAGAGGAAATAAGCTCATTGTATCACCTTACGGTTCTTATTAGTAATATAAAAATGTAGACTTTGTATCTAAGATTCTATGACTGACAGAATTACTATAGCCATTAATTCATGTACAAAAACTTTCCCCAGAATATCCAGATAATTAAAGGAAGGGTAAAAGAGGATTAGAGGGATGCAGAGGCAGGGAGGGACACTAATATATAAAGGTAATTGCCTTAATACTTTTCTTAAATGTTAGAAAATCTTTATATACTACTATAAAGAACAAAAAGCGTTTACTAGGGAATTATAGTAATATATTTTCTGCAGCTCTCTTTGTAAACTAATTATTAATAAAAAAAATTTTTAAAGCAAGGTGGAAGATTGCCAGGAGAAAGGTAAACCTTTGACTTAAACTGAGCATTAGTACTAGAATTAGAAACTCCTCTCTTAGGGCCAGACTATTTTACTGTGGCTTTAGGCAAACATTTTTCCTATTTCATTTCCCTATTTCAGTATTAGAAAGGGTAATATTCACCAACATTTTAAAAATCATGATTAAGACTTCCATCGCAATACTGCCTTAAGTAGGAACCCATCAAATGTCAGATGAGTAATTGAGATGATTTTATATCTCTATGCAAATGTAAAGGAATATAGAACTACTAAATATCTCACTGAACTTCTAAATAGATAAATTCCTTTGTGCTTGAATGGGAATCAACTCAGCAACTCTTGCAGATCTCTTAGAGAGAAAATAGTTATTAGCCATTTCAGTTAGTGAGTAATATATTCTATAGAGTGTACCTCTGAGGGATGCACCATCAGGTTACTATAGGCATACTTGATGGTTCAAAGACTTAATTTCTCAGACCAAATCTTATAATTGTGTTTATGGCGAGTGAAGTTCAAATATTCTTGACCACCAATATTAAAGTCTTGAATTGATGGGCTCATGTCTACTCTAAAATTAGAATATAATTTTAGTATCAACAGAATATGCTTAATTTTACAAACAAGGCTTTTATTTATTGAAATGACATCTAATATGTTCACTAAATATAAAATATTAATTCAGCTGTTAAATGAAAAAATTAAAAATTTAAGAATTATGCATACATTGACCATTCAAATGCTTTACAATTTGATTCAACTAATAGAATAAGCAGTCATGTTTTGTCATACTTTGGTATTTCCATAGATAATTTGTGTTCTCAAGAATATTTTGTGTTATACACCTTCTTTTAGTGATCGTGGTGGAGAAGACCCAAACCAGAAAGTAATCCATGGGGTTATTAACTCCTTTGTTCATGTTGAACAGTATAAGAAAAAATTCCCCTTAAAGGTAAAAAGTCTCCTTTAAAAACTTGAGTAATCAGACCTTTAATTTCTTAAATTGCTTGTTTTCATTTTTTCAATATGATTTTAATTGATTTATTTAGTTTTATCAGGAAATCTTTGAGTCCCCCTTTCTGACTGAAACAGGAGAGTATTACAAACAAGAAGCTTCAAATTTATTACAAGAATCAAACTGCTCACAATATATGGAAAAGGTAAGAAAGAAATGTATGTTAAATATATCAATACTTATATATCAGGCATGGTTTTATGTAACAGTTTTTTTGTTAATATATTTTTTGGGTTAAAAAGTTTCTGTTTGGCCTTTACTCTGAGTTATAGTCAATGTACAATACCTATGATAAGTCATTTTTCTTGCTGTAGTGTATTCCCTGAGGAAAAGTGCTATTCTGATTTTTGTCATGACTGATACTTTTTGATAAATCCTGATTGCTTGATTTGCTTGTCTTTAAAATTAACATGTATTTATGTTCTTGGCAAAATCTATATTTTATGCTTAGTGGATATGTTTAGGGAATAGTATAGACACTAGGTATTTAGGTTTTTATCTTCTTTATTTGAAATAGAAGGAAAAATATAATAATTCTGTAGATACTTAGATAGATCACTCTTCTGTTAAGTTTTTAATGAAAAAAACTTAATTTTTCCACAAGAAATATTTATTTTTTAAATTGATTTCAGAAAGGAAGGGAGAGGAAGAGAGAGATAGAATTATCATTGATGAGAGAGAATCACTAATCAGCTGCCTCTTGCATGTCCCCCATTGGGAATCGAGCCCAGAACCCTGGTATGTGCCCTAACCGGGAATCAAACCATGACCTCTTGGTTCATGGGTTGACACTCAACCACTGAGCTACACTCCACAAGAAATTTTAATCATTAAACCAACACACACTGATGACCATATTTAAAATTCTATGTGTATTTTCTCAGTAAAAGAATTAGTCATAGTATAAATTCAGTCATCACACAAGATATATTTAGAAATTTTAATGAGGGTTTTTTTCATCTGTAGTGTTGGATTTCAAGCATTTCATTATAGGATAATTTTTTGTTAGTTTAAGCAAGAAAGATAAATATAAGTAGAATAGCTATAGTATGTACATAGGTCATAGTATAGAACATAGGTCAAGAAATATCATTACTTACTGATAAGCTGTTAGGTATTTCACAAAGCCCAGGGCTAGAAGTCTGAGCTGTTTAGTCTCTTCCTGCTTTTGTCACTCATTAGTTCTGGGACCTTGATTAAGTCATCCGGAACCTTGAGTAAGTCACCTGGGACATTTTCCTCCATCTGTTACATGCAGGTTACACAGTGGTCCTCAGCTCTTAGCCTTCTTTGCATCTGAGACTCTTGTTTAAGGCTCTAGATCCAATCTTGAAAAGTGCTCACAGGTTTAAGTGGTGCATACACCTCATTATATCTGGCTCTCAAAAAAGAGGCAATTGGCAAAAATATTGTATGGTTCCACTTAGATGAAATATCTAGACTAGGCAAATTCTTAGAGACAGAAAGTAGATTAGAAGTTTTTAGAAGATGAGGCTAGGGAGTTATTGCTTAATGTTTATAGAGTTTATTTGGTGTGATGAAAGAGTTTTGGAAATTGTACATTGTGAGTATAATTAATGCCACTGAATTATATATTTAAAAATGGTTAAAATGGCAGATTTTATGTTATATACATTTTATCACAATTATAAAAACACTAATAATGTAATATAACGAAAACTATTGAATTCACCCTTGCATGGATGAATCATATGATATGTAAATTATATCTCAAACTATTAAAAGGAAGGCCATTGGGAACTGTGTTGGGAAAATAGCATTTATAAGAGTAATTCACTTAACAGACTAAATAATGTAGCCTTCCTACTTCCCTTTCTGTGTCTTTCCTTTTAATTTTGGCCTTTCCCCCCAGCTGTAGTGGTTTTATAGCTATTGAAGCCCTGAATCCAGACACTCCAACCTAGTCTGTTTTCTCTTGATATGCACCTCAGCCCTAGCCCCACCCAGTTATCATGGTTTTTCTTTTTCTCCTCCTTCCTCACCTCCCTCAGACCCACACTCTAATTACTGTTGCATTTAGTTAGACCATAAACATATCAAAGTCACTTATAGTATAGTATAAATGACTACTACACATAATACTTTTAAGAAATTTTTATTTTAATTGAACTTATTGGGTGTGTTTGCCTGTCTTCGCATGGCCATCTTCCCTCTGTGTAAGAACTTATTTTTTAATTTTTTAAAATATACTTTTATTAGAGAGGAAGGGAGAAGGAGAGAGAGATAGAAACATCAATGATGAGAGAATCGTTGATCAGCTGCCTCCTGCATACTCCCTACTGGGGATCAAGCTGGCAACCTGGGCATATACCCTGAATGGAAATCATAGGTTGATGCTCAACCACTGAGCCACGCCGGTAGGGCAGAACTGTTTTTATTTTAAAAGAAAAACACGATGACCAAAATGACTTTCTTAGTTGATGAAATACTCTAGACCCCACCTTTGGTTTCTACAACTTTGCCCTGAACTCCTGGCTCCACACAACATGGTAGCACAGTAGGAAAGATAGGACTGTGTCTCTCAGTCTTGAGCCTCACTTTCATTGAAAGATATCTGAGAGGTATCCAGGAATGTGTTATTTCCCCTCTCAGCATAATTTTTTCTCTCAACATCACCTTCTTATGCCCAGGTAAACTCAGGCAGTACTTCCCAAAGGCTTAAATGCACATAGTTCCCTGGGACCAGTTCAGAAACTCTAGTTCCATAGCTTTATATTACAGAATACTTTACTTTTTTCTGTTTTGTTAATCCTCACCTGAAGATATTTTTTTCCATTGATTTTTAGAGAGAGTATAAGAGAGGGAGAGATGGAGAAAGAGAGAGAACGAGAGGGAAACATCAATGTGAGAAAGACACATCAGTTGGTTGCCTCCCACACAGGGGTAGAACCTGCAACCCAGGTAATATGTCCATGACTGAGAATCAAACCCAAGATCCTTCAGTGCATGGGCTGACACTCTAACCCAGTGATGGTGAACCTTTTGAGCTCGGCGTGTCAGCATTTTGAAAAACCCTAACTTAACTCTGGTGCCGTGTCACATACAGAAATTTTTTGATATTTGCAACCAGAGTAAAACACAGACTTATATTTTTGATATTTATTTTATATATTTAAATGCCATTTAACAAAGAAAAATCAACCAAAAAAATGAGTTCGCGTGTCACCTCTGACACACGTGTCATAGGTTCGCCATCACTGCTCTAACCATTGAACAGTGCTAGTCAGGGCCAGAATATTTTCAAATTTAAACATTTGCGTATGCATATGCTGTGCTGGCATGATTTTCATTGCAAATGTAGTTTTGTTTTGAGGTCGAAATTAGCCCAATTCTCTGGCTGTTATCTTTACTAGTTCTTGTTAATGTTAACCAGTGTATTGTTTGTAGCTCAGTGCTTTTTATATAGGAAAAACTTTAATAAAAGTCTTGATTGACATATCTAACTATGCCTAAATATATTTTGACTTTCAAAAATTTTAATGAAATCTTTACTGTGATAGTTAACTATGATATTCATACTATTTATGAGGAACCAACATAAAATAATTAATCTACTTGATCCAGTTAATGTGACTTATTTTTAGATTACCGTATTTGCCGGCGTATAAGACGATTTTTTGGCCCTGAAAAATATGCCTCCAAGTGGGGGGTCGTCTTATACGCCAGGTTCACTTCAGATAGACTGCCCATAGTGCTTGCCCCGTGCCATAGTGGCCTCCCGATGCCCGCCCACTTC